TTGTCTTATTAGGTCATTTTATTTATTTAGTGCTTTTGGTTTACGTGTTTTTGAAAAATTGAGAGATTTGTTAGATATAGAGTTAATAATGAATTCATATATCAAACAGTCAGTATTTAAATAATGGAAGGTCTATATAATGTCAATATTTTTTAGCTGAGAGAACTTTCTAATATTTTATTTAATTTCAGAAGAATGTGTAGAGAAAACATTGCCAAATACTTGAATAAATATAGAATAAAACATAGTTTTTCAACCATTAAAAACAATTTTCATTTTTCCAAGACACACTTTCTTGCCGCCAAAACAATTTTTTAGTTTTTATTAAAGATATAAGAAAGGATAAATGTAGGTTTTTGAGAGTGAAACTTATTTTTTTCTACGATTGGGTTGAAAGTTAAATTTTCTAACTTCAAAATAACTGCGGAAAATGTCACTTTGCGTGTAGCCTCAATTACATCCTCACACACCGGAATAAAAGGGTGTGTTTACCTTAAAGAACTATATTATTTAACTGGTAATAATAATTAAATTCTATAAATGTACATTAATTACACAGGAATTGCAATTACTTAAGTTAATGGTTGGAAAAATTAGAACATTTACATTGTTAGAAATACTAGAAACATTTACATCTGGACCAATGTTTATGGATTTTCGTATTCGCCCATTACTTTTTGGAGACACTTATCTTGTTAACACTATCTTCTATATATGCGTCTGCTGTTACTGAAGAACGCCACCCACCGTATCTTTTCAAACTGGTAAGATCCGCTCCAGCGTCAACCAAAAGAGTCGCTGACGTTCGGCGAAAGCCGTGCCCAGCTAAACTTTCAGGTTTAGGAAGTTTTAAATATTCTGCAAAATTTTTTGACAACTGTTCAAATGTGTTCATCCCTACCACTTGAACTGTACACTTGCCATGTTTGTATTGAATGAAGAATCGTTTATGTCTTATGGATGCAGGTCTAAGCTGAACATATCGACGATAAAAATCCAACCAATTATCTCCTTTTGTAACTGAGAACACTCTAGATTTATGAGTTCTAGAATCTCGAATGATTATGAGCAAAAATTCTCCATTGTCCTTAATGTCATCTATGGTAATATTCATCAATTCCTCAATTCTGAGGGCACCAGCCGCTTCAGTAATTAACATAATACCTAAAATAATGTCTTATTACAGCAGATTGAAAAAACTGAAATTTGTATTACCTTTAGAAGTAAAAATATGTCATCAGGAACGTTAAGTAAAAAAGCATTAATTTGTTCTCTGGTAAATACTTAAGATTTCTTTGCCTTGTATCCTACAGATTCTCTTTTTAAAAAGGCAATTAGTTTCGGAAACTTCGAAATATCTACATTTTCTTCCAATAACAGAGTTCTTTTGAGCATTGAGTAAGTTGACCACATTGTGGAAGATTTCAACGTTTTAGCCTTTTCGGCGAAATAGGCGAATAGGACTACTTCCGTATAAACTTTCACCTTTTTTGACGGCACCAGTGTAGGAAGAGAAGTTTTTCCTTCTTATAACATTCTTTCGATTTACGTGGAAGGAGGTCGGAATTCACACTTTCAGCGGCTGCAACAATTTCTACAGAAATATCTTCGTCTGAATTCATCACTTCCTCAAAAGCAGCAGATACAAGACAGAACGCGTCAGTTTAGCAAAACAATTAGTTTTGTTTGTCATGACAACCGTTTTAGCAGTACTTGATCTTTATTATTTTAAATAGAATCTGACAGGCGGCAAATGTAAAATTTTGGAGACTTTATGGGAAAAAAATTCGAAATCGCAGAAAATAGTATGTAACACACATGTGGCAAGCTTTATTTCAAAACTCGTATGATAGGAACACTCGCTGCGCTCCTGATCCTAATTTCATACATCGTTTTGCAATGAAGCCCTTGTCGCACTTGTATTACAATGTACTATTTATAGAGTTGACTGGATGTGGAACATCTGGAAACGACGAGGGTCAGATAATATTAACTAATACACGAATCAAATGTATTGAGTCCTCACCTTAACTGCGAATATTTAAAAAATTATTACGGGTTTTTGCATTTCCAGGATTCGGGAAACCCTATGATCCATAAGTGCTTGTATTTGAACTTCCGCGGACTGTTCTGTTACTGTTAGGGTGTCAATTGGCGTCTAAAAATTTGTGATAGATATCCGCATATTTCTCTTTAGCTTGCTGTCTAAGAAACTGTACTGACGATGCGTTAATGTGGCTTCGACAATTAAAGAAACCTCGCCTCAACTGGCGTTAAAGGAACCAAGTCTTCTGATTTTTGTGCAGCATGCCAGGCTTTATGAATTTTCGTAGCTCGAGTTGGTGTCGTAAACACAGCTTCAGTGATTATTTTGGCTTCTAAATCTTTTCCCTTAGATTTCAAAGCCACATTCGCAGCGTAACTGAGTTCTTCTGTTTCAAACTCTGTTGACAATTTCACGGCCCGTCGCTTCTTGGTCCTCGAACTATCTTCCTCAAACGTTACCTTTGGTCAACCACGACCCGATGACGTACTTGGTTCAACACTTGACACAGTTTGATCAGTTCCCTCCGGTTCTTCTTCTTCGTCAACATCAAAATTGGACGGAGTCTTTTTTCGATTGCAATTGCATTTGTCCAGTCTTGAAAAAACTTTGTTGCTAAAGTCAAATAGAGCGTTCCTTATGCGAACGATTGCTTGAGCATTACCTGCCTTTCCATAGTGACTGACTAGATAATCCTCTATATGCGGCTTCTGTGCTACACGCATTTCACCAGATTTTTCCGGTAAAACGTCAAACAGTTCTCTTCTTGCAGGCATTCTAAAATAAAAAAATAAAATTTGGTGGTTGCTTAAGCCAGGGTAGTTTAGGCTTGGAGCGACGCAATCGCTTTAATATGTACAAAAGGTGCAAAGTTTTAGTCTGCATATTATAGCGTTTGACATACTATTACTACTGATGGTACCGACACTATCTTATTTTGGTTTGAAACTAACATGAAGCGCCTTGTATCAAAATAAAAACGCGATTTTTTTCTAATGGAACAAGTTCGAGCAAATATGCATTTAACCGCGGCATAGATGGATCTCTAGAGTATATATTAGGATGAAAATCTCTGTGGCTTTTAATAGCAGACTCTATTTACGTCTAATAGAAGTTACAAAATGCAAAAGAAATTACGTTTATAAAAAAATAATAAAATCAGGTGCTTCAAAATAAAATTTGTGGTAATATTTTATATGTAAATAAAGTATTTACCTTGAAGTTTTTCTTGTAAAATTACAAACCAAAAGTACAAATATTTGAAGCACAGTCATACTTTGAAATCTGCCAACAAAGTGAAGTAAAATCATAGTTTAACAATTAATTATGTTTGAGGGGTCGCCTCAAGTAGATTTCTCGAACGAAGGGGTTGATATTCCGGGAAACTTTACCTGAGATTATCCCTAATGTATCCCTGGAATGTGAGAGCTGTATAACATACTTATAAAATTTGATTATTGTCAACTTTTCATTTATATCGGACTACTTTGCAACTATCAGAATCAATTATGACTTCTGGCAACCTCATATCTTTTGTTTCTACGGCTTAGAAAGAAAGTTGCTCATTTATTGTTTCTCAATGAACAAGTTAGTTTATAAACGAATTTAAAAGAGGCAAAATACTAACTTCTTTATTTATTAGTTATAATTTGCATAAATTGTATCAAAGATAGGGAACATTTATTTCTTATATCTCAAAATTTGGACATAAATGATTGATCATATTCTCAAAACCATTGAAAGTACATAAGTATGAAGTATAGTAGATCATCGGAAAGCTTTTGAAATTCTCTAATCGAACATGAAATAACATACAGAGTGTTCCCTTTTAAATAACAAAATTACTGAGGTCTTTAAATCTTCAAGTTCGACACAAAATTATAGACACCCTGTAGAAGAAAATCCAAAATCGGACACATGATTTGAAAGTATTTCAAATTAGACGAATACTGCTGGATAGTAATCAGCTTTGTTAAGTTAAATGAAACACTCCATAATATTATTACATATATTTAGTTAGAAAACGTCAAGAGTTTTCCAATAAACTACCATAAATGTACTTCCTTTGAGTAGTTCAGGAATTATTTGAAATTATGTAGAAATTTTGACACATATACATCATGTACATCAAAATTTCTACATAGTTTCAAATAATTCCTGAACTACTTAAAGGAAGTAGATATGTTAGTTTATTGAAAATATCTTGACGTTCTCTAACCAAATATGTAATAGTATATAGGGCGTTTAATTTAACTTAACAATGTTGATTACTATCCAACTGAAACGAAACCCTCTGAATGACAAAATATTTTTAGAGTATGCAATGTTGAATGCTGAGGATCTTTTGTGTTCAGTTCCTTTTCTGTATGTAATAGTTGCAGAGTTATGGAAGAAGTACGCACCAGGTGGACACCCTGTATAATATCGGAGATATGGCCAATCAAGAAATTGGCTTATTTTTTGAGAAACAGCATTTAACATACAAGAACTATTACGGTAAGGACACTCTGAAACCAGCACTAGAAAAATTGCTTCAGTCATAAATCTATATAGAAAATATCCAGGGAACAGCAACTTATACAGGTATTATTGTCAAATGACTTTCCCCCAACGCATTGCCATAAGCCAAGCGATATTTGACGTAGAAGCGTAAAACCCTCACTTTATACGTAAAATTCCTTTTACTGAAGAAGCCAACTTTTCCAGGACTGCAATTTCGAATTTTACAATAATTATTTAATGGCAGAGGAGAATTCACACGCATTAATTGAAAGTCATTGGCTGATTGAAATTTAATCAAATTTTTTAAATTAAACATCATAGGTAATACAACCCCTCGAATCCCAGAAGGTACCTCAAGGTATCTTATGTGAGAGAGGGCTAGACATTTACTGACAATGGACACACACCCAATGTCCGGGTATGCCAGAATTAATTTCTGGTTTAGAAAAAATCCTAGCTCCTCGACCGGGGATTGAACCGGGGACTCTAGAGTGAGAGGCAAGTATCCTTAACACTCGACCACGAAGTTATTATAGGTAATTATTTAATAGGACTGGTTTTCTCCCATTAAGAGCCTTAATTGGCCAATCTTATCGAAACTTTCTGGAAGAATAGTTATCTTTGTTATTACTATATGTTCTCTGTAGAGTAAAAAATTAAATGTGGTTATGAACGAAGGGTCGCCAGCACATTTTAGCTCAACTGTGTGTCTGTTCTTGGACGTGAAATATATTGGTCGTTGGCTATGACGTATGGTCACAATCATGGCTTCCCGGAACTCCATATCTAATTCCATTGGACTTTTTCCTCTGAGGTCATCTTAAATCTTTGATTTATGAAATTCATGCTACAGAACATCCTCGGATGCGCATAAATTTTTAGATATTTTTTTATAATAATAATAATAATAAAAAGTCTTTATTCCACAACTATATAATACATATGTACATGAGCAAAATATATATATATATATATATACACATACATACATATACACATACATGCACACATATATACACATACATATACAGACACATACATATACAGACACATACATATATACACACATGCATGCACACATATGCATACATACACATATACAATAATACCTATCAACATGTATTAGTATTATTGAATTGTGGTACAGGTGGAGTTCAACCATTCTGGATTATGACATCCAAAATGCTCTTCCACTCAACTTGAAGAATTACAACATATAAAGAACCTATAGCCTAAATTAATTGATAATTAAATAATAATTCAAAATTTTTTTTTTATAAATTTTACAGTTTTTGAGTTAAAAAGATACTGCAAACAAAGCAAAAAATAAAAAATAAGATAAAAATTATACGCTAATAGACGAACCAAAAGATTATTTTAAATTAAATTAAACTAAATTAAATTAAACTAAGGAGGTGCAAATATTAGGCAGGTTAAATCATACCATGAAAAAAGTATCACGCAGCAGAAATTTTTTGAGTTTTTTCGAAAACATGTGTAAACTAAATAATTTGAGATTGGCAGGAATCCTATTATAAAGTTTTGCGGAATTATATGTGAAAGATGACCGATTGAGTATAGTCGCATGCTGAGGAGGAGTGAGGTTATTTTTAAACCGGACATTAATATTATGAATATCCGTTCTAAATCTTAATTTGTTTAATAAGTAGTCAGGTTTTTTTGTTGTAATAATTTTATGATAGAATGTGCAGCAGTGTAAAATCCTTCTTCTCTCAGTATTCAACCATCCAATCTTGGTTAATTTGGCAGATACGTGATCACGTTTACGAAGTCCGCAAATAAGGCGAACACAAGAATTTTGAACCAACTGTAGCCGTCTAGCATCAGCTTTAAGTAGACATGGCCCATATACAACATCTACGTAATTAAGATGTGATAAAACTAAAGCTTCGCACAAAATTGTTTTTGTTTTTTTATTTAAGATGTGTCTATTGCATAGATTAATTTTAAGGAGCAGTATGATTTTTTTAACAATAGAAGATACATGTGCAGAAAATCTTAAGTTGGTATCTAGAATCAGGCCTAGGTTTTTGGCACTATCTGTAAGATTAATGATTTCATTGTCAACAGAAATTTTCATATCACTCCTTGCTCGGTTTCGTGAGGCAGTTCGGCCAAATAGCATTGCCTTTGATTTACAGGCATTAATGTCTAAGCAAAATTTTTTGGAGATTCTAAGTAGATTTTGAAGATCATAGTTTTTATTATTGTATCGACTAAATGAATGGGAAATATCTCGGATACGGTGCTTTATTCGGAAAAAATAAAAGTTGGCTTTTTCCCAGAACTAGAAAATATTAAAAAATACAAACAACACTTTGCAAAAACGCAGTGGTGGCGAATTTTTGCTTTTTCATGGTGAAGTAGAAGAAGGCAAAGTTTCACACCTAATATAATATTCTTGCAATAAATGGATTTTGAGTTATTGAAAATTAACAACATTTTTTGGAAAATTTTAACGTCCTGTATTTCGAAAATGAAGCATGTTTATCTAGATTTTTTTTCTTAAAATATGCTAAGAAACCACCTACTACATTTTCGACATATATTTTAAAATATGTAATATTATTTTGAGAAAAGTCGCTCGGAATAATCTGCGAACTACTCTCCTCGTTCTTCCTTCTAATCCTTTCAAAAAAATAGCATTTTTATATTTGATGTTTCCCCTGTCATAAAATTATGCATTGTTAAGAAAAGTGAATAATCACATACAGAAATGCTCAATCCAGCATGTATATCCTGTTCGATACAAATTTGTTCATCTGTCATATTTCTGCGAATTAAAACGGATTGGCATTGTTCGTCAATCATGTCATCGAATTGAAATAACTCCTTTGTATGTATATTAGTCTCATTAAATCCGATCGTGAAATTAAAACCCCAGTTTTAAATTGGCGATATTTTGTATTTCCTAGTACATTGAATATCGTGAGGTTCATTGTGCACATATTAGGGAATTATTTCTAATTTACATATAGAATAAAATAACATTAAATTTTGAGTTTGACTAGGAGGAGTATACTCGTATATTTAATTTAATAAAATTCCAAAGATGGACAAAAGTTTTCATCGTATCGTGATTTGTTGATCTGGAAAATTAATTAAGTCTTTTTCTGATCTGATTCGAAATAAGAAAAGAATTTCTAACTCACAAATATAGGTTTTTGTATGATTTCGGAAAAGCCAAAGACAATGAAAAATTCGGTGATGAGCAAAATTGAGCTCCAGAAAACTTTTTTGTATTTGACTTTACAAAAAAAATACATTCTTTGATGAAAGATTAAAAATGATATCTACTATATCAAGCGAATAAAATATATTTTCCATGTACTTAAATAAAGCTAATATAAACTGAAATATTTTACAGATTTGGCCCCATAAAATAGGGTTAGGATAAATTTGACAGTTTGACGTTTGAAAAGTCTGATTTAGTTACAAATATGTCAATGTCAATAACAAAAAATTATTAAAATATATGACATGAATTATTATTGATCGAATGACGTTGATTATTATTTAAAAAATTTAATGAAACCTTTCAATGTACGCTACTAAAATTTAATTAAGGTAAGTGAAGAATTAAATAGAATGATTTTTTTAGATCAAGCTAATATATACTGGTTTAAGAAAGTTATGTGCTGACCACATCAGATATTTATTTATTATATTTATTTTAATTGAAAATCTCATCATAATCGACTTCACGTCACTTTGACATAATCTAATAAGAACATCATGACAGTTTGTTTCATTTGTTTAAGGTATCCATTATTTTGTTGATAATTGTTTATCGTTCGAAAAGTATTTTTCGTCCGGGAATAGTAGTCACCTAGTAACCACGATAAGAAATAATACCTTTTATAAAAAAGGTGATTTTTTTGTCCAGATATTCGAATCAAATAACGTCACTTTACAATCGAATAAAAACGATATTTGTAGGTTTGCGAAAGAAGTGTCTCTTTTATTTTATTGTTTTATATGATATACGAGTATATTTATTTGCTAAAGACAAAGTCTTCAACTATCCATTTTATCACAATGTAATTTCATGATGGAAAAGGATAGTAATTTAATAAAAAGTCAAGTAATTTAGTTGTAAATTTAAAGGAAAATAATGCAGAAAACTGTTCAAAATAAAAAAAAATCGGTTTCGGTTAGGTGCATGTCGATAGTACTTTCTCATACTCGTCTTCAATTTGACGTGAATGAAATAAATCATTTTAATTGGAAACATTGTTTTCATTTAACTTATTTATTAATGTGAAATAAATAAAATAAATAAAATAAGTAAAATAAATAAAGTAAGTAAAATAAATAAAATAAATCAAATAATAAATAAAATGAAAATAAAATAAATGAAATGAATAAAATGAGTAAAATATGATAAAATAAATAAAATAAATAAAATAAATAAAATAAATAAAATAAATAAAATAAACAAAATAAATAAAATAAATAAAATAGATGAAATAGATAAAATAAGTAAAATAAATAAAATAAATAGAATAATATATAAAATTAATAAAATAAATGAATTAAATAAAATAACTAAAACTAATAAAATAAATAAAATAAATAAAATAAATAAAACAAATAAAATAAATAAGATAAATAAAATAAATAAATAAATAAATAAAATAAATAAATTAAATAAAATAAATAAAATAAATAAAATAAATAAAATAAATAAAATAAATAAAATAAGTAAAATAAATAAAATAAATAAAATAAATAAAATAAATAAAATAAATAAAATAAAGAAAATAATTAAAATAAATAAAATAAATGAATCAAATAAAATAAATAAATTAAATAAAATAAATAACATAGATACAATAAACAAAATAAATGAAATAAACGAAAAATATAACATAAAAAAATACTAATGAAACAAATGAAATGAAATAAATGGGAAAATGAAATGAGATGAATGAAGCAAATGAGACAATTGAAGCAAATGGGACAACGCAAACAAGACACATGAAACCAATAAGGCAAATAAGTTAAACAAGATTAACAAGAGAAATGAGATAAACAGGGTTGGAAAATAAATGAGTACGTGAGATAAACAAGATAAATTGAATAATTGGGATAGAGGGGAAAATAAGATAAATAAGACAAACGAAACTAACGTTATAAACTATATAAACGATATAAATGAGACAAGCAATAGAAACGAAACAAAAAAAGAAACAAACGAGATAAAATAAATTAATTAATTTATTTCTCTCTCATTTCAAATTGGATATGATGAGAAAACACTGTCGATATGGACATTACTTTTTAATTGAATAGAATTAAATTTACACTATTTATCTCAGTAAAAGTTAATCTGATGAGAAATTTTCAAGGTTATTTCGATATATTTGCTCGTTTTGAACAATTTTTTTGGAACATTTTGAGACATGACTTCCCTGGTGCACCAATTTTACTGATATTCAATAAGGGTCTTCCCCCCCCAGTTACTATATGTAAAGTGTCAGATTTCTACGTTAAGAAGTGTTTGAG